AGCAGCCTCTCAATCCAAGGCTGAGGATAATACAGTGGTGACTATTCATTAGCACGAGGGCAGCACAAACTGAGAAGGTCAAGTCAGTGCTGGCAGAACCAGAGTCAAAGAATAGCCTGGCAGAGACCCACACGGTGTCAGTGCCATGCTCAGGCCCTCTCTCAACACCTACTCAAGTGTCTCTCTGAGGTTTATGACACAGAAAGCAGCAAAGCATCAGGAAATTCAAATTCAAGCAATTCATGATACTTGCAGCCCCCACAGGCCAGGTTTTTTTCACTCTTATGTGTTCTAAAAAGTTGTTTTCTTGGCTCTGTGTTGTAGTCACTGAACCAAAAACAGGGAGAGAAGCACGGCAGGGGAAGAGTGCCACAGAAATATTGAAAGTTTTGCAGACAGGGTAAAAAGAGAGGTTCTGCACTGAATGTTTCAAGCATCCAGCAGTTTATTTTAAAGTTAAACGTTAACGTTGAGTAAAACCAGTGATTGCCACAGACACAAGAAACACCAAAATGTTTGCTGGAGCAGATCTAAAATAGGCAGTTATACAGCTTCACAAGCAATCATTCTAATAAATGCTGCTGTCTACTGAGTCCTCTCATGTTGCACTACAAGAAAAAAAGCCTAGAAAGTGCCTCAGAGTCCTGCACTGAGAAATACCTTTCTCTACCTTGCAGAGCAAAACCCTGCACATTGCAGCTGTGTAAAGATACAACATGATTCAATGTGTTGTATAGTAATAGGTTATTTTTTAGAACCTGTATCAAGGCATCATCTCGCCCAAAACTGAACTGCAAATGTCACTGAAGCAGATTTCAAGAGCTGCTCAGCCCCTCGAGCGTGCCAATTCTTTGTGACACTTCAGGAAGGCTGATGCTGATATTTGCTGATCATTGCTAGCAAACATGTAAATAATGCACCACTGAACTTATTTGTGTGGCAGGCAGGTGAGTCTTACTCATACTTACTGAAAGTCCATCAGACTGGTGACTAAGGCTCCAGGACTTCTGCTTTGCTTTATGTCCCATCCATCCTTGCCCAGCTCGTCACAGCAGCTGGGAAGTGCAGCTCTGCCCAGACTTAGGGACAAATAAATCACAGGAAAATATTTCTGTTCCTTGTTCTCTGAAAAGGAGAAGGAATAAAAGGGTTAGGACAGAAGGGTCTCTCTTCTCAGGAGAGAAGTGGTGATTCTGAGGTAAGCCAACAGGTACTGTGACCAAAAAAAATCCCAAATACTTTTTTTACCATTTTAAAGGCTTTGCAAATTAATAGGGAAGAGTGTTCCTCACTCTTTTTTGGGAGTTTCTGGAAGTACTTTTAGTTTGGTTTTGGTTTTTTTTTTTTTTAGTCCTTGTTAATCTATTTTCTATCCAGCTTCTGATTAATAAGTTTCCTTGTTATAAAATAACAGGAACTCATAGATAAATACAGACTTCCATGATATTACATACACACATTTTCCCAGTGTTTTAAAACTGCACAAAACCAAAATCACTGAACTCCTGTTAGCTTTGCAAATGTTGCAGGCAAAAATCAATCTGTAGCATCCAATAATGACATAATCTGGTTTTCCTGTGCACACATCACTCCTACACTTCAAAATGTTTTACAAACACATCAAGGCAACTGTGACAACTTCTCAGATAAGGAAGCTGGGTCATGAAGAAGCAAAGTGACCAAACACTCCCCTTCCCAACAACTAGAGCTAGAAGGGACTGGTCTGTTTACCTCACTCCAATACTTTGGCCTCTAACTCACCTCACACATCAGATAAATTTAAACAGGCCATTTAAAAGTGTCATAAACCCACTCTGATGGTGCAGAAGAGTTCAGTGGGATGTACAATTGTCCTCCCCTCTCACTGCCCTCATTCCTCCTGATGCCCGCTGAGCTATTATAACACTTTACTGGGTGCACCTGAAAAAACAAATTTCAGGAGTCCTTTAAAGGGAGCTAGAGGTCCCAGGCAAGGGAACTGGGATGGAGTTCCCCACCAGAGCAGGCTTCAAGGTATCACAGGGTACACCAGAGGGTTGGCTTGCTATCCCCTTCCAGCTCTGGAAAAAGTGAACCCCAATAATGAAAGGGACCCATCAGTCCTGTGCAGTCAAGCCCCTAAATTTCAGTAACTCCAGTATGGATGAAAAACTCCAGCATTTACACCTTCAACAACACAGAAGGTCCAAAACTGAGTGTGTTTTTCTATCATAACTCAAAGTACAGGAAAAAAAAACATTGTCTCTAATGACAGGAGAGACAAAGAGTAAAAAGCCACCACTGGCAAAATTTACTCATGAATAAAGCAAAATGTGTTGTCTCACAGATTGTAGCTGCTATTTGAAGTATCTGAGCTTCTTAAATATGCCTTAGGAGTGTTAATATTATGTTATCTTAATCATGGGTCATTTAGTTTAAGAAATGCATTATTATTTCCTGTAAATTTGTCAAAAAACGAAACCAAAACAAGGAACACGGCCAAACAATATAAAAAATAAAAATATTAGATTAATTCAAAACAAATTCAACCCAATAGCTTTTTGCATTGTTTTATGTTTTTCTACAGATTTCTGCCAATCAGGTCTTTAAGTAAAAGTTGCATCACAGCTGGTCTGTACTTCATTTGACAACGTGCTATTTAATGAGAAATGGACTTTCCAGACTCTCAGGAGGCTTGTCCTCCTCCCTACCACAGTGACAGTCCCTCTCTGCCCTGGAGAGCTGCACGTGGCCCTCACCACCACTTGCTCCTAAACCCCTCGCAGAATTTTGGTGAATTTTGGGCAAAAATTACGTCCTGATTTTGCCTCATTACATCAGCATAAGCTCACGGCCCCCTCACACCTCCCGTGTCCTTTGCTAACCAGAAGCCAACACCCCAAAAAGGCAACAGACAGAATGAAAAGCAAAGAAACCCTGAAGGTCCAAGCAGGATTTTGTCATGACACCAGACCTGCTGCCTTTTACCCTGGCCCTCCATACAAGAAATAACAGGACTTCCTCAGCACACGCCAATTCATAATTGTTTATTGGTTTCCAAAGCTTTCACACAGGGATCCCTATAAGCTGTTTCCATGCCCAAGTCAATAGGATGGAATAACTACCTGAAGATATCCTAATTCAACCCTGTGAATTCAACTGGGCAAAGAAACCAGAGTTATACTGGCAACAGCTTGCTTCCTGCATTTACATATTGCTCCAATACATGTTTCGTGCTATTTCCTGATACAGAAACAACATCAGCTGTTTGCTAAGCCCTGTGA